AGAGTACGAACATCCAAAAATAGCATTCATAAAGCCCAATCATCATAGCTAAATCCGAAAAACTCAAATAACCCACAAGCATGAAAAACCAGTATGCAAACAGTTGCAAACAAGCACAAAATTAAACAGAACCGCAATCTGACAAGTTAGATTTAATCCAAAATAGCATTCATAATGATAATATACTCATTTATCCATGAGTATTGTTGTAATATCAATGAATACATAGAGGTAGTAGACAATATATCAACGAGTACAATACCACATGGAGAATATAACTTAGATTACATCCCGATCTCGGTTGTGTCTCCACCGCGCCATTTAGCACAATAATCTTCCCACATTTCAATTGCAATTTGATCCCTCTTTGCTCGCCATTCATTTCTTGAATCTTTTTCCTCTCTTTGTGTCATAGTTTGAGTAAAGTCAACAACACCCTCTTCACCCCCATTTGCTATTTCATCTCCATCCTCTTCAATATGGTTGTCCTCATGCAACAACTCATCTCCCGGGTCTTCTATGGCGATGTAGTTATGAAGTATAGTACATGCAATAACTATATCAACTTGAGTTGAAAAAGGGTAATGTGGCTTTGCGGATAGGATTTTGAAACGATTTTTTAATACCCCAAAAGTTGATTCAATTTTAGACCTTAGGGATGAGTGTCTTAAATTGAACAACTCTTGTCTATTATTGATTGGCCTACCCTTGTGCTCATTTAGATGATACCGCACTCCTCGATATGGGGAGATAAAGCAATGCATAGTAGTGTAGCCCGCATCACACAAATAATATTTTCCTACAATTACCAAAAATAAATTTAGTATATTTTTTAATTATAATTAAGTAGACATACTTTATTTGAAGGATTTATTACCGTCGTAAACTCTCAATCCACGAGGTTGTGGTCTAGATAACGCGTCTTGCAAAACTCTATAATCATTTGTGGATCCCTCCCATCCAGCTAGAACATACGAAAATAACTTGCTAGGAGTGCATGCAGCTAGAACATTTTGAGTTACACCTTTACGACCTCTAAAACGTGCAACAAGGCTAGCGGGAAGCATGGCGTCGATATGGGTTCCATCTATCATGCCAATGCAATCCTATATGATACATTAAACAGTTAATAATAATAGAAAGGTAAAATTGACCGTTATATTATGAGTAGTTATGTTATAATAATGATTACCTTGAAATAAGGATAGTATAACGGGTTAGTGGCAATCTCTGACGATACTTCACTTGGTGCTTGCTTCATGTACCGCCCCCTTAAACGACCAACGGCTTCCAAGCACTTGTTAAAGTATTTTGAAACGGTTTCCCCCGATCTTATGAAATGTGACCTAACAATTCTATTTTTTGTTTTATGGCCTAATATATTAAGGAACATGAGCAATTGTTCTTCTACTTTAACAACCCGTCCATCTTTTAGTAGGCCGGTATATCTCATTATGCTAACAAGATTATGAAATGCACGCGGCCTCATTCTAACATAAGCCCTACAACTCTCATCATAGCCATGAAACACACGACTTATGTGCCTAACTCTAGAGTCTATCTTCTCTTTATTTTTCATCTTAGGGTGATAAGTGATTGATTTCCTTCTACTACGTATCCTCATCAAACAAGCAAACACACAAATCACCGCAGAGATAGTAGCATTAGAAGCCATCCTCATTAACATCTCTTCATCAATATCGTCCATCTACATTGTTTTAAGAAGAGATTCCACATATAAATACTATGCATCAATCTTAAACAAGTGCTCATATAGTAAATAGAAACCAACAATGTTCAAGTTAAGTGTAATTAATCTTAATTAACAAATTCCAATAAACTAAAATTATGAATGCAATGTTCTAATATGCCTTTTTTAAAGCTTCTGGCATGAATTAGTCCCTCAAATATGTCTACTATTTAGTAATGGAGACAGGGTGCTTAAGAAACAGGGAGCTTAAGGATTCCATTATGTTAAAAATGAATGATTTTCACTAAAAGTTTATAAAATTTTCAAAGATTAAAGACAGTATATAACTTTCTAACCAAACAGGAATCTCTGCTCATTCTCATCCCTTTCTAACCAAAAATGAAAGACATGATATAACTTTGTTAAACAGGAATCACAAGAATCAATCAAATATAGCTTCAATCAAATTACCCATATTTCTGCCAGAAAACCCCAGATTTGATGAATTATGAGATCAACTCAGAACTTCAAAGCAATCTTTGCCGAAATTTACAAAACTCGCCAGCTTAAACCCTAGATTTCTTAAAAAATCCAACACTACCAGCTAAAATCCCCCCGATAAATCCCCAAAACACGTCAAAATCACCAACTTTCTACAAAGATCTCAGAAATTAAACACCAACCAACTTTCTATAAAGATCTCAGAAAGTAAACACCAAAAGATAGACTATACCTGAAGACTAGGCTCATGCACTCGTCGAAGAGGAGCAGAATCGAAACCCTAACCCTAGCTTTCCTGCGAATTTTCAGGTGCCAAGCGAGGAAAATTCTTTCCCTCCCCGTCAGCCACAAGCCCTAGGTATTTCTAGAGGAGGGAGGGGGTGGCGTTGTAGAGTCGGAGAGACAGGGAAGGAGATCTATGGTTTTCACGCGAAAAATGAGACGGCGGGTAAAAGAGGAGGGAGACGAAAATGGGAGAGGGAAGCGGTGACTGTAATGGAAGAGTCTGCGATCGGTTTTGGGGATTAGGAGCGGAGTTGGCTGAGTTGGACTTGGTTTGTCAGAGATCCAGCCCATATCCCCTCTCAAAAACAGGATTTCTCAAATGCCAAAATAAATTAGTTTTTTATGTTTTTAGGATTCAATATGCCAAATTTTTTTTTGAAACAAACATGGTTATGGAATTCCAAAACTCAAAAATATCCCTTTTTACATCCCAAAAGTTAAAATCCAGCCCATATGCCAAAAAAAACTGAAACAAACACCCCCTTAAAAGCTTTTTAAATAAAACTTAAACCAAACACAAACCCTTGTTAAAACTTGTTTAAAACACTCTTTTGGGTGTGGAAAATAGTTATGGCAAAGGGGTATATATAGGATAGAAGAAAACAACCCAAAAATCTTAAAAACCCACTAAAAAACTAAAAAACAGAAGTTACCATTACTGTTCAACGATCGGGTGCTACAGTAATGGTGGTCGACCGTACTACAGTGCGGTCGATCGTACTGTTCACAGACAGTTTCTGTTTTTTACAGATTCTGGAATTTTGCGTATCTGACTTTGTAAAATCAATTAAAAATAGTAAATCAACTACAAAAATCATGAAAATTTGAGAAAAGGTTCTAGACATGTAGGTAAACATGTTAGAGAAATAATTTCTAAAATATCATTTCCTAGTTGAGAGAAATAACTGTTTGAACACAGATATACAGTTTCTAAAAAAACTGCAAAAAACTCGGTTTTGTATATTCAATTGAAAATAACAAAACAACTCCAAAATTAGTAAAACTTAGGAAAATGTTTGTATATATGAAGATAAACATGTAAACGAAGAAATTTTTCAAATCGCATTTACCAATTGTGAAAATGTATCTGTTTTGTAAAAAATATGCACGGACACATGCACGTACATGAACATAAAACTTGATTTTTCCACAAACGAGTTCAAACAACTTGGAAACATTTTAGAATGGATTTGTAGACATTATACGAGATATTAAAATAGTGTGAACAAGTCTTTAATCCATAAACACAATATTTTTCTAAATACAATAGAATATGAAACAAAACCTAAACTAAGTTACCCAAGCTAGATCTTGATCTTCAATAAGCTCGACTTGGTACACTTGCGGATGAAGCTTGAACTTGGATCTTCAACTTGAATTGCGTAGCTTCACTCCACTATTCCGCCAACCTCCATTGGATATGATCGTTGAAGCTCTATTCCATCCATCCTCTAACATGTTGTTTGTCTATAATAAATAAGAAAACATAAATACTAGACAAACAACATTAGTGATAAATTATTTGTTAAACATCATTAAAACAAAGAGGCAAACAAATCCGATCTACCAGATTATTGAGAGTTGCTTGTCCATCTTATGTAATGTTATATGTTTAGTTTGTATTTTATATTTTATTTTAATGAAGTTTTATATTATGTGTGTCAATTTTTATATGTTATGTATTTCAGATATGTAACTTATATTTGAATTATGTATTAGGACCGCTCTTTATATTTCATGGGACTTCACTTATAATGTCTAGATTTTAATATTATAATTAATAATAATTTCTTTTAAATTTTAAAATTATTTTTATTTTTAAAAAATAATTTATTTTGTCCAACTTATACAATTGGGGTAAAATTATAAAATTTAAATATTATTGGGATTGTTTTATAAATTTAATAAAACATTTGGGGTGAAATTGTAAATACATAAAAGTAAAAGGTAAAACAAAAAATTGAAAAATAAAAAATAAAAAAACAGTAATGCGGTGATGAACAGTGCGACGCCAAATATGACGTTACACTGTTCATCACCGCTAAAATACCGTAAGAATTGAGGCTGAGTTGAAGATCAAACACAGCGGCAAATGCACTTTTTGCAGCATTTTGCCGTTGCGTTGGAGATGGTAGTAAACCAAACACTCCCAAATACTACAAAGGCTTCATTGACCAAAAAGAAGAAGAGGAGGAGGAGGAGGAGGAGAAGAAAAGAAAACACTTGGATTTTAGCAAAGATTCATCATCCATTTAAAAGACGAATTGAAATATTGAATATAATTTTAATATATAGATCAATGCAGAGTCTTACATTAATCCCCCCTCTATTTATTTTGACGTGACCCCCCTTCAATTTTGCTTTTATTTGTCAAACAAGGGGAGGACTGATAATTGTGTCCAAACGATCGGCGACCGAAACGGAATCCCCTCATCCGGGCCACGTCCAATTTATCCACAGAGCGCGCATAACAATAAAAGGGAGTGCAAATATCACTCTCTCCGTTTCGTCATCTCCTCCCTTTTATTAGCCAACTAACAAAAACAAATCCCTTCTTAATACCCTTTCTCATAATAAATCCAACCCCTTTCTCATCGGATCCTTCATCATTGCAACCTTCTCCATCTCCTCTCATCGTCCTCCACAAAGATCGCAACAGCAGAATCCAAAGTAGCAGCAGCAGGAGACAAATCAAGTCACAAATGAGTTATCAACAAGTTTACCCTCCACCCCCAGGCAAATACCCATCTCATGGATTGCTCCAGTTCTTCACTCCATTATGCTCTCTCCCTCATGGGTATTCTTTGTTTTCTCTTGCTTTGTAACGAGCATCTTTTAATTGATGTGATTTCTTCTTCTTCTTTGTTTTTTCTTTTTTTTGGGGGGGATTTTTGCAGGTTATTCTCACCCTTATCCACCACCACCACCTCAGCCAGGGTATGGGCAGCCTCAGCCTCAAGGGGTGTACCCACCACCACCTCCTCCTCCTTATGGGTATCAGAGATACTTCAATGATGGGTATCAGCCACCACCACCTCCACCAATTCCTCCTCCTCCTCCTCATTATCACTGCCATGAGCATCATGAGGACTCTTGCCTCTCATTTTTGAGAGGATGGTATGCAATTTAATCTAATATTTTCTTGATTTTGTTGACTGTTGGGGGTTTGTTAATTGACAGAGGTTTTATTTATTGACAGAGAGTTTGTTGATTGGTAAGGGGATTTCAGTATTTTATTAACTTTGTTGATTGCTGTAATTTGGTAATGTAGACAATGGCAACCATGCTTCTAGGACTACATACTTGATAGAGCTAATCATCTGACACGAAGATGGAGATTAATTATCTAATCTAATCATCACGACAACATACATCGAAAACACATGTTAGGAGGGTCTCACGTTCATTTGAATTAAGTGTTGGTTAGGTGCAGTAAGGATATGAAATGAGATCCATTCAAATAGCCCCACATTGAAAAATCATAGATGACTAAATATGCTTGGGCTCATGACTCAAATATAATCCCTGTGAGTCGGTTGGGTCCAAATAGATTAGCTTAGTCCTTCTCCTTAATGATTTATTCTTACCTGACAACCTGGTATCAGAGTGAATGATTCTATAGGCCTTCGGGTGCTCTGTCCGCTTCAAGATTAAGTTGTGTGGATTAGAGCTCAAGATAGAGCTTTCATGACATTACATATGATTGTGGTGTACCTCCGTCTAACACGGATTAGAGCTCTCTTGGGTATACATGCCGCCACACTTCCTTACGGTGTGATTCTATCCGTGTATGAAGTAGTAAGTTGAGACGCTATCTTCATTACTCATCTGTTATGGGTTAGATTTGGACTGAAGTTTATTTGAGCCAAATTGAAGATTTGTTAGGAGTGTCTCATGTCCATTTGGTTTAAGCATGGGTTTGATCTGAAAGACATGATGAGATCAATCCCACATCATAAAAATAGTTATGGCTATGTGGCTAAATTTATGCTTGGACTGCAGAGTCAGATTGGGTTAATAGAGTCAATTGGGACCTAGTAGATAAGCATAGTCCATCTCCATTCATGGGCCTTTGCAACCCAACACAAGGCATGCTTCCGATGACATTAAATAATAGCTGGAATTTTATATGAGATGAAGATATGCTCTTCTTTTTTCACCAAATAACCCTTGATGTTATGCACAATGGCTGGATTGTGACCCCAATTATTCACCCTGTCACTACTGCTAAAAAGAACGAAAGGAAAAAGAGATGGTTGCTACATCTAGGAGATTGGTAGATGAAATACCTCTTCATGAACCTCTGGATGCATATACAGGAGAGACCGAGAGAGGGAGAGGAACCCCACCTGAACAAAGATTTGGCATAGGCTTATCAATAACAGGTCCGACTCGATTCCCACCCGTCTTATTTCGATGGGTCAGGTTTTCCCCAAGACCAAACAAATGAGATATATAGATGATATTTATGTACTTCTTACATGAGCATATCATGACTGACACATGTAGCCCATGCTAATCTAAACAAGGAAAAGGTGTTTGCTCATACGTCATGAGATAATTCATAATTTGTTTTTGTTTTTGTTACCATATTGATGGATATTTTTCCTTAATTGTATGGTGGTTTAATGAGCTTTCATTGTAGTTGAATATGTATTACTAATGAGTTTCATCTTGTTGTTCTTGGTACTTCTAGTGTTATGTTTATTCGTTTTATGTTGGATTGCTCAAGTGGGTTGAAGATATCTTGATGGGTTTTCTTGTGGACTAGTTGTGCTTTACCTCTTTCCTGTTGTTGCATGTGTATCATTTACATATTGTTTATTTATTGGTTTTGGTGCTTCCATTGGCATAAGTATTGGATGTTGATTTATTTCCTCTCTTCTTTTTGGGGACAACTATCCTATTTAACTTGGAGTATTTTGCTATAACAGTTTTATGTTAACATACATAATGCTTCTATTAGTGTAGCTCATTGATTAATATTTGAATTCCATTTCTTTAAAATAATCATTTTCTTCTTCTTGAATGACTGAAATTATAGCATTTTAGACTTTTAGTTGACCTTGGATTCTTGAGATAGAGCATGTTCCTTTGAAATTTAGAGCATTCATCATTCAGAGTTTCAGATCATATATTGAGGAATAGTTAGCTGTGCTCAAATACTTTTCAGAGAACGGAATCTACATGTGATCTTGTGATCTGTAATTTTCGGTACTGCATGTGAATAACTCCTATGCACATTTTTTTAGTTCTCATGACACTTCTTGCATGAAAAGAATATTGCAAACAAATTTTCTTCTAGGCAATGAGCAACCAACAATGATATGAGAGTAGATAGTGAATATTAAGAAGTATAGATCAAGTGGCTCATGAATTGAAAATGCACCACTACAGTTATAATATATCATTCACTAGGTTAAATTTGTTGCACGTTGGTAGCTAAAACTTGATGAGTTTCTTGCACAATTGTTAAGTTGTATGCTTCTCAATGAGACTTAATATTAGCGATATTCTGGACCTTCCATATTAATGAATAGTTTCTTCTAAAATTTCCAATGGTCGTCATGTTGTTTTCATTGATCTACATATGGTTTTCATTAACTTGGAAAAAAGTTATGATAAGAGTGCCTAAGGAAATAATATTTAAAAAGAAACATGTATGTGTTAACATGATTAAAGATATATATGCTAGCGTAATAAGTGGAGTGCGAACAAAGAAAGGAGAGGTGAAATCAATTTCTAGTACCACATGTTTACATCAATAATCAACTTTAAGACATTATCTTTTTGTATTGTTTATGACAAGGTTTTAAATATCGGTTATCGGGGATTTAATGGACGGCCAAAATCCTTATCGGATAGCGGAAATCGGGGATATATCGGGGATAAGTAGTATTTATCGGAGTGATATACTGGATGATGTGTATATATAATATAACAATTAAAAAATGTAATCTAATCATGCTTAATGAAATATAAACATACCAAAATGTAAATCATCATGTTTAGAATCATTAACCAATTGTAGAAAGCGAAACTTGCATCATAGCCTTGAAAAAATATAATGTTAGTCAAAATGGACCGATAATCCCGATAATCCCGATAAAAAAGTCTTACTTATCGGCCGATAAGTGCCGATAACGCCGATAAATCGCCGATAAACCTAGAAAAAATGATAACTGATTAAAAATCTAATTTATCCTAGCGGAGAGCTACCAAATCCGATAACTCGGCCGATAATATCGATTATCGGCCGATATTTAAAACAGTGGTTTATGGACCAACTTATTAGATGTACTCAAGACGAAATCCCATGGTGCATATTACTTTGTGGATGATATAATACTAGTTGATGATACTAGGGAAGAGATAAATTCTTAAGTATAAAAGTGAAGGGAACCTCTTAAACATTAAAGATTTAGATTTAGTGGGGGGAAACAACACGTGGAATGTAGTTTTAGTGAAATTGGAAAGAGAAATGAACACATAATGCGTAATTATAGTTAAAAAAATAATTGGGATCAATTATTCGCCATTTTAGTGATCGAGGATGATGTGGCCCATGTGGTCATCGAATCAAATAAGGATGGTTAAATGTAGGGCCCTTCTGGAGTCTTACACAACCATAGAGTGCACATGAGATTGATGGGAGAGTTCTAAAGGAAAGTTATAATACCAATATCAATGCTTTCTGGATCAAAATGTTGGGCTGCTAAAAAACTACATGTGCAAAACAAGCGTAGCAGGAATAAGAATGTTACAATGGACATGTAGATATATACTAAAGATAGGATAAGAAATGAGTGTATTCGTAGGAGATTAGAAGTTGCTCCTATAGAAGATAAAATAAGATATTACCGATTGAGATGGTTTGGTCATGTGCAACTGAGGCCACTAAATTTGTAGTTAGGAGAAACGGTAAGATTATAGTTAACGGATGCAAAAAGGACTATAGGTAGACCTAAAAGAATTTGGTTGTAAGCAATTATGAGAGATAAGATAATAATTAACATAACATAGGAGATGACCTGTAACTGAAATGAATGAAAGAGTAGGATTCGTGTAACTGACACCAAAAATTTGGGACAAAGGCTTGGTTATTATTGTTTCAATAATCATCTTTTGCCGAACCCTAATTCTTTCTGCACTCAACAATACAGTAAAAAATATATGATTTGATATTGTGATATTATGCCTAGAATCAAGAATATATTCCACATATCAAATACCAAGCATACCGTTAACCTTCTTAGCAATCAGCATTCGGGTTCGCCTTGTGAATCTTTCTCAAATTATACATCACATTTTTAAAAATTTAACAAAGACCTAATTGCACAGAGAATATCCCAAACTTTGTTGTCTGTATCTTATAAATTTCACCGAACGAAGATGGGATAGAAGCGCCACCGTTTATTGTTCAATATAAGAAAGTTATTCTCAGATGTTATGCACATCCTCAAAATCGATTGATATCCTAAATCATTTAGCTGGGGCCTCCTAGATTGCTGAAAATCTAAATTAGACCTAATCCAAGTCTATTGCAGTCCAAGTATCAAACCACATTTTATGTTTTCCACGAAATTCTCTGTAAAGCAATATTTCTAGTATACATACTAAAGTTACTGTAGTCATGCGGTGGTCTCTGTTAATTTTTGTGATGATATACAATTGAAGGATGCCTATTAAATATTATGGCGACACCAAGGCTTATTAATAAAATGATGGATCAAATCAGATTGGAAGTGCGGCTATGTAGTCAGTGTTTATGATACTATTGAAGTGGAAGCAAGGTTTATGGTGCTAATGTGATATAGATGGAAGATGGAGGATGTCTGAATGTAGCTTCCTTTTTGTGCATTTCTCCTTATCCTCATCACCTCCTTTTCACCCCTCATTGCTTCACTGCAACCACCATATAGAAAGTTGAAAATTATGAAAGAGTTGTTAGCTGTCAGCAAGTTAACATTTTTATTATTCAGTCTCTGGCATACCTTCCGATTTTAATAGCAATTGGTCCTTCCGAAAATCTAAAGTAACTTATGTCATATCTGAGTGTTGCAAGAACCAGTCCAACTTTAGCCCACAAGGTAATAGTTTGGTAGATAGCACTATAGCAGACTGGAATGTTCCAGTTCAATGGACCTCGTGTTTATTGATACATTAGGTTAACAGGTTTGAATTTTTGGGATGTGGATGCATTTGCTACTTCTTTCATCTTTCAGCCGGATATATGGCGTAGCCATCTCCAACAGGCAACACCAATCCAACCTCAGCCTTGCAAGTTGCAAGTAAATGAGTTGGTTTAGATCTGAGTTAGTTTATGGATGAGATCTAAATGCACAATTTTTTTCTGGCAAATATGATGTATCCTGATGTATACTTATAAACACTGTTTTAAAAAACCTCCGCCTAGTCCGCTTAGGCGTACGCCTAGGCCTAGACGGTACCTAAGCCGCCTAACTAGCGCCTAGCGCCTAGACGGTATTTAGGCTGGCCATCTAGATTTTACAAGCGTTTAGAGGAGCATTGTCTGCTTACGTGGATTGCACCTTGTAGGCCTTGATTGTGATTTTATGTGTCGTAGCCTACACGTCCTCCAAACTCCATTAACCTTCAAATATGAACACCTTCACTACCTCCTCCGACCTTCAGCAAAACCTCATCGACCACCACTTAAATGAAGAAAGAAAAAAATGCCCAGAAACCGCTTAGGCGCCCGCCTAGGCGACTAAGCGCTCTGCGCCAAGTCCGACGCCTAGAAGCGCCCAGCGTTTAATGTAACATTGCTTATAAACAGGTAGGAAACAAGTTTGGATTATGCCTAGATTGTTCAAAGGGTCCCTATTCTATCTAGCAGTAATATAAGTAGAAAGGTTGTAGCTGTTGCTTGTTGCAAGTTATGAAATTTTTATCTTATTTTTAGTCTATTTTCCAACTACAGGGAATTGGATCTTTCTGTCAGAAATAGGAGCATCGCTAATGCTGTTTACTCCCAAGATGACCCTTGCAATTGACTGCATGTACATGTTGCTAGTTATAACATGCATTTCCATTTCCTACACTCGAAATCTAATACTGACTTCTATGGTCCAATTGTTCTCTTTCTTTGATAACTCGGGATCTAATTCCGCAGAGATGACGATGACTATGAGAGTGAATTTCACAAACCCTCCCAAAACTTTGTGCACCTTTGCACTTAACCCCCTTGAACTTTTTCCCACAAAACCACCAGTCTTTGGAGTGTCACACAATACCCCCTAAACTTTAAGATTTTCCCTGTAGACCACCTAATGGTGTTAATGATTTAATCTTAAAGGGTCTATTTGTCTTTTACAACAACCATTAAGTCGTCGGGGGTCCGTTAGGGGGTTGGGGTGGGTGGGTGTATTGTGGGACACCTCCAAAGCTCGGTGTGGTTTGGTGGGGGAAAAGACCGGAAGGGGGTGGGGGTGCAGGGTTGTGAAATTTTCATGTAAGTTCAATGGGAAGAATTACATAAAGGTTATATTGAATTAGATTAATATTACGCACAAGACTTTCTGAGCTATTATATCAATTCATCGAGGGAAATAGTTATTAAGCTTTATCCATACTAAATCTGAAAGTACCATTTTTGGTTGGATCAGAAATGCATGTTAGTGGATTTTCATTCCCTTTTCGAGTTATTTTATATAACTGAAATTATTTTATACAACTTTTCTACTTATTCATATATGCATAATTATTTATGTATATAATTATGAGTGATTACCATTTATATAATTAGAAAAAAATTTACATGCTTGCTCCGGGCCTGCGAGAATGTGTGTATGACAAATGCAGTTTCCATGAGTTAGTTGCACAAGCTGATGGTTAACAGTGTGTACAGTATGCACATGTATAAGTACTATTAGATGGGTCTCGTTGATTGCTTATGGATCTTGTGTGAAGCAGGAATAGGTTTTCTCATGTTACTATTCCCATGCAGTCATCGTCAGTTGACTGCATATTTGCTATTTTGAGCATTTATATGCTCTCTTTCATTGGTTGGTTGTTACGCTAACTCATGAGAGAATTATCTCCCTGCAATTGAAATTCGAAAGAGCTTTATGGTATAGTGATGGAGATGATATTTGGCTTTTTATTGTGCACTTTTGAGTGGCAGTGTACAAAGGCCCTTTTCTTCTCAGGGTTGTTTGACATATAAAGTGAAACGCGGTGTTGAAAATTGGGTTTGCAATCTGCTGCATATTTTAGCCTCTTTAATGAAACTTAAGTAAAGATAATTGTAGAAACACAAAATCACTATATTGACATTTTCTCCCCTGCGGGATTTTTTATGGCATGCTTTCCTGGCAATGAAATGGCTCCAACAGCTATGCTTTTTAAACTTGTGATCTGTTGCCTTGGGTTCATATTTCACTGTTGAAGCTTGAAATGTAAAGAAGATTACGGGGTTGTTTGCTTCGTTTAGACATCACATGCACCGTTTGTTCCACTGCAAATAATGAATACAGCTGCAAGTGCAGGAAGCAAAAGCCTTGTATTGCTACCAATGAGTGTGGCGTATGTCACGGTTACCACCTCTTAAAGCTGCAACTACAATTTAAGTTCCAATAGTGAAATTGTAAAATGTGAAGAGTGAATCGAGCAACTACAATTATAACTGCATGTGGCAGCAGTTGCTGCAACTGCAGTTAGACGCAACTAGCAATTGCATTAAAAGTGCATCACAAGTGCAATTACAATGAGGTGTATCTCATATTTGAATTACTGTGTTAGGACTGTTTTTAGTTCTGTAATGTTTTCATGTGTATCTCTATCGCCATGACTGTAAAATTGGTAACTAAAATTCTTGTTCTTTCAAAATCCAGAAGTTTCATTTTCTCCTCTTCCTAGAGGTTATCGTATATACTGAGCTGTATTTACTTGGATGCAGTATGGCTGCTCTTTGCTGCTGCTGTGTATTGGAGGAATGTTGCTTCTGATAGAGTCAGAGGCCAAGTTTCCAAGCTATGCAATAAAACCTCGGTTCGTGTATTTGTAGTCCCATCATTGTTGTTTATGTTGTGTTAATAGTTAAGGAATTTCGAGCTTGTGGATCTTGAAAGTAACTGCATGGCAATGTTTGAATTTGTTATAAATACAAATGATGTAACTAGAAATATACCTGAAATACAGTTGTGATCATACTGGACAAGTAAGTACATTAGCTAATTGGCTTGTTTATCTATTCGAGGTTTACATTTCTGCTCTTTGGCTAGTACAAATTATGCTCGAAGTTCTCGTGTAATTTTTTTTTTGATCTTGTCAATGCTATGATTTACTTCGTTTGTAGATAATTAGACATCCAATTAGTTGAACGAATGCAGTTTGCGTTAGGAGGCTTATAATTAATTAAGGTCATAGTAGGAGATTCATATAACATATTAGTCATTGGCAAAATTTCCAAAAATTCCCAACTCTTAGACCTCCTTATTGGCATCTTAACCAAGAGCATGCACGTACCTTCTCTTGTGCTTGGGGTCTGTTCGGTTCATTTGGTAAAAGAAACGAAATAGGAAAAGGGTTCTTGTAAAAACGTTTACTTGCTTTTCCAACAACCTTTTTTCATAGAAATAAAAAAAGATTAACTTTGAACTCTTATATTTGGTTCTCAAGTAAATTAAAAAGGGGAAATGAACATTAATAGAAATGGGATGAGACAATTTTTAATTGTGAAAAATTATAAAGAGAGGAGGGAGAAAACACGGTGGCAATTTTTAATTATGAAAATTTATCATGTGTGAGAATTCTACCCCATTTCAACCCAAATAAAAAGGATATAGCTAGCGTTCCATAATACTTCACACTATCTCTACTTTCTAGAAACATGTTTCTATAAACCGCTATTGAACCAAACATAGAATAAGAAACGGTTTGAAAAAATTTTGGGCATTTTTAAAGATATCGTCCATATGCTCTTCATTTCTTATAAAAAACGGGCGAGCCAAACAGACTCTAAGCTAGCTAACACCCCTATCAAGTTTCCTATAATCTTGCAAAACAAGCACCCCACACCTTTCGCCAAGTTCAATTTGTCAAACATGAGGTGATACGCTGCTTGGACTAAAATTTTAACGAAACTCTTGGCATTAACTATCAATAGCTAGATGTAATAAATCTATGCTATGCTAAAGGTAGCAAGTTAGATACAAAATAACAAATAGTAGCTAGCTAAGGTTAATAAATCCATATATACGAGGTTAACGTATTAATTGGTTGGACATAAAACTAACAAATAATAGCTAAACTTCACAAATTCAACACAAAGCAAAGTTAAATGTTAGCTACTTTTTGTTAACTCCGGCAACATAAGGAGGCAGTACGTCTTGGAGTGAGGAGGGGGTGGCGGCAGTTGAGAAAGGAAAAGAGGAGGAGACGATCGATAGTGAAGGCAAATATGGAAGCGTGGGGAAGAGAGCGGCGGGAGGTGATGATGGTTTATGTGTTCGTGAGAGAGATTGAGGGGAGAGTGAAATGAAGGAAAGGTTAAAAGATGTTTATTTATTTCTGTGTTATATAAGGGGGTGAATGCATGGAAAAAACATATAATTAATAGTGAAAGCTTGACTTCCTACTAACTATATTTGCAAGATTTTGGTCTTGGAGAAATGAGGATATGTCTTCATATCTTTAAAATCGAAACGGCATGTTATTGTCTGTTGTACGTGTTTTGTGGCGGACTTGGTACGAAAGCAATATGCGCATTTTTCATCAGTAGAAAAGTCATGCTCTTGATCTATTACATCAAATTAATAATCTATTGCTAATGCTAACAAATTGACAGAAGAATGAGTAGTTTTTTCCCCCTAAGATATGAAGATGATGGAAACATCATAATGGTCCTCTTTTTTTTTTTTGGGTTTTGTATATGTTTCAATATATTAGGGTTATGTTTGGTATGTTGGGAATTTATGTCGAAACCACTAAGACAGCAGAAACGCAGTATAGAGAAAATACACTAAGATTTAACGAGGTTCGACAACTGCCTACGTCCTCGGGAGTCACACAATTAATTTCTTATTAATCAACAAGAAATTACAAATCTCAGAGCAGATCCCAAACTGAGATCTCTAAATACAAACACTGTAGCTACAGTGTTAATAGTTCAAAGGGAATAATCCCTATTTAATGCTCTTGAGAACCCCCTTTAATACCTCCTCAAATCTGAGAGCTAGGAAACCCCTCTTAAATGAACAACCCCCTTTCTTAAATCTCCCCTCAAAATTCGTTTGAGAGCTAGAGAAAAAATTCCACAAAGGAGAAAAAGGGAAAATCGTTGCTGCGATTTTGGGTTCGCCGCCCTCTGGAGAAAACACACGAAGAAGGGAGGAAGAACATTAGGGCTAGGGCACAAGGTTTTCCTTTTATAAGGAAACCCTACCTGATCTGTCGACAGGCTGTTGACAGCCTGTGAGGAGCTCGCCTACGTGGAGCCGCCTTACTCGTGGATTCCTCGAGCTCGAACCTCGTCAGCCCGTGTTCGAACCTCGTCAGCCCGTCGGTTCGAACTCAAACCTCGTTTGAAGCTTGACCCTCGTCTGAACTCGAAGCTCGACCCTCGTCTGCTCGAGCCTCGTTTGCTCGAAGCTCGCCTTCGCCTGCAAGTCGCCGTCAACTTCACCTAAAGAACCTCGTGCTCGCCCGCAACTCTGAATCTCGAGCGATCATCTTGAGCTCTCCCTGCGTCATCCCCCCCCCCAAAGCTCTCCGCCTTTACGCGAGGTTTGATCCTTCATCAAAATGCAACAATCTCCCACTTGGAGAATAAACCGACGTCAGCAGGCTATCTCAACAAGAATCATCTCATGTGTGACTCCGTCCTCATCACTCATGCATGGAGGCCAACTGAAGTTGTGCACAACTCCAGTTTCTGAACAGTCACCATCTTTGTTAACATATCTGCTGGATTCTTACTTCCTGGAATCTTCTCCATTTTCAACACGTCATCTTCCAACATGGACCTAATGAAGTGATACTGAAGCCCAATATGCTTCATTCTAGAATGAAATACAAAATTTTTAGCCAAGTGAGTTGCACTTTGACTATCACTATGCAGAACATTCTTCTTCTGTTTGAATCCCACATCTGTTAACAAACCCTGAAGCCATATCATCTCTTTGCTAGCTTCAGTCACTGCAACATACTCAGCTTCTGTAGTGGATAGAGTGAAAATCTTCTGTATCTGTGACATCCAACTAACAGTTATAGTTCCGACAGTGAATACATAGCCGGTGGTGCTTCTTCGGTGATCGACTTCACCGCCAAAGTCTGCATCTACGTACCCTTGCATTTCCGCCTCTCCCTTACCAAAGTGCAAACACTTTTGTGTGGTGCCTCGTAGATACCTCAGAATCCACTTGACCGCTTCCCAATAAGCTTTTCCTGGATTCAACATAAACCGACTGACCACTCCTACTGCATGGCCAATGTCTGGTCTCGTACAGACCATTACGTACATCAATCTTCCGATAGTTGAGACGTAAGGGACCTTAGTCATACTCTCTTTCTCTTCTTCTGACTGAGGGGATTGATCCTTTGATAGGTGAAAATGGCTAGCCAAGGGTGTGCTCACTGGCTTGGCGTCGCTCATGTTGAATCTTTGCAAAACATGATTGATGTACTCCGTCTGAGATAACTTCGTCTGAGATAACTGCAAGAGACCTCTCTTCTTATCTCTCGTGATTTGCATTCCAAGGATCTTCTTCGCTAGACCCAAGTCCTTCATGTAAAACTCCTTTGACAGCTTGTGCTTCAAACTCCTGATATCTTTCATATCTATACCTACAACCAACATATCATTAACATATAGCAGTAGGATGATATAATTAGACTGATATCTTTTGAAGTAGCAACAGTGGTCGGTGTTGCACTTCTGGAAATCTTCCTTATGCATGAAGCCGTCAAACTTCCTGTACCACTACCTTAGGGCTTGTTTCAGGTCATACAAGCTTTTCTTGAGTCTGCACACCAGGTTCTTCTTCCTTTCTTCTAAGAAACCTTCTGGCTGGTATATGTATATCTCCTCTTCTAGATCTTCGTGAAGAAACACCATCTTCACGTCTAACTACTCGAGATAAAGATATTCAATAGCTACAATACTCATCACTATCCTGATAGTATTTAGCTTCACCACGGGAGTAAAAAATATCGGTGTAGTCAATTCCTTCCTTCTGCAGGAATCCTTTGACAACTAGCCGGGCCTTATATCTTCTGTAGCCATCCTGCTCCTTTTTCACCCGGTATACCCATTTGTTGTGGAGTGTCTTCTTACCCGTGGGCAACTCAGCTAGTTTCCACGTCTGGTTTGATATGAGAGACTTCATCTCATCTTTCATGGCAAACTCTCACTTGCTCACATCTCCACCATGACAAGCTTTATCATAGCTTTTAGGCTCCCCTCCATCTGTCAACAGCAGATAGTTCATATATCTCCTGTTGGGCACAGGAGGTCTTGAAGATCTTCTCAATATCAGAGCTGGTGTGTTAGGTTCTTGCGCACCATCTTGTCCAATAGGTAGAGCATGAGCATGACCAGTTCGTGATCGTTTTTTATCGATGACATCCTTATATATTCGAGATTAGAGGCAAAGCATGAGCAGCATCTTCGATTAGTATTGCAGACATTGCGGGAGCATCAGTTGTATACTAAGTTTAGCAAATGCGAGTTTTGGTTATCCGAGGTTAGTTTTTTAGGCCACGTCATCAGGAGAGAGGGCATTACAGTTGATCCAGCTAAGGTTGAGGTAGTTTTGGATTGGGAGCCGTCAAAGACTATTTCAGAGATCCGTAGTTTATTAGGTTTGGTCGTCTATTACAGAAAGTTCATTCAGGACTTCTCGAAGATTGCGATGCCACTTATACGCCTTACGAAGAAGGGTGTACAATTTATTTGGGGAACGGAGTGCCAGTAAGCCTTGAGACTTTGAAGGCTAAGTTGACGACAGCGCCGGTATTGATTATTCCGAGTAGTGATAGGACATTTGTCGTCTACACAAATACATCGCTTTCGGGTCTAGGAGGTGTTTTGATGCAGACCTAGAGAGTAGTAGCATATATTTTGTGGCAGTTGAGGATATATGAGCAGAACTATCCCACACACGACTTGGAGCTAGCAGCAGTGGCATTCGTACTAAAGACATAGAGACACTATCTTTATGGAGTGTAGTTCGACCTATTCACGGATCACCAGAGCCTAAAGTACCTCTTTTAT